TGGGAGAGATGGCCAGGGTAGCTGGATGAAGTCCCTGTGGCGGTGGCAGTGACGAATGTGGCCCCATTTTTGGATGTGTTTTGAACACAGAGCTGCCAAAACTTGCTGTCTCTATGCAACTGTGATAGCACTCAATAATAGTCACTGAAAATGTTTGCTACATCTCACATTCTCTTTAAATATTTTATACAGGGTCTGGCACAAGTAATGCTCCTTTTTATACAAAATCTTTTCTCACAAAGGCATAAGCATGTAATTCTGTAACATAACAATATCACACTCAAGCACACCATATGACATTTTAGTTGAAATGTTCGAATTAAAACTATAAATTATTACACCCATATTATTATCCTACCAACCACACTCAAGCAGGCATTACTTCTGCTGGCCCCTGTATTTTGGGGTTTACTATAGCTCCAGCTTTCTAAATGCTTGACACTGCTCACTGAAATACAGCACACTTTTTATGTTAACATTTCTGAAAGAGAAAGTACTTATTAGTGTTATATCAGAAAGGTTAGGGACTTTTAGGTTACTAAATATGTTATATTCATGCAGCTCCTGAATGATGCACACAGTGTATAAATAGCTTATGTGTACTGCTTACTTCCTTTCTTACCATATGCCTTTGAAAACTATGTGAGCTCTTACAGAAGACCTTGGAAATTTTTATCAGTATATGTTTTCTCATGGTACTAGCTGAATGATAGATGCTAAATAAATAATAATTGATTTCTTAATTCATAGTTCATATAAGCATTCCATTTGAAAGTCAGGCAAAAATTTTGCTTAATTTTTAATTTCTCTTCCTTTTGTCATCTTTCTTGTGTATCCAATGGAATACTGGTTGCCATGGTCATAGCAAGCTTGGAAGCAATACTGATTTCTCGTATGAATATGGGTATTGGTAATGTTTACTCACGTTGCTTCTAATATATTTTCCCCATGAATCAAACAAATAATTTGGTTAATCAACCTTTTTATATTGCTTCAAAATCCTAATTATAGCCTTTTTTTCTAAATGAAGATTATGTAGTTTATTCACTGTTGGATGTAAATTGTTACACAAGAAGAATAAAAAGCCATCTTTGCAACTAGGGAGACATTTACAATAGAATCTTACCAAATAGAATAGTTGGTGATTTTAAGGCCTCGCATATGTAGTTTTACTCCTGGAGTTACAGCTGGAATGGAAATTCTAAGGAGCGTATAGAAATTCAGGATTTTTCAAGCTTGAACTATTATAAGCTTATAGTTTAAGGACTTTATTATAGTGTAGGCAAAGGGGGCAGAGTTTTGTTAAACTTGTTTTGGCTGGTGAAAATGATTTTCCAATTCTGTTTGATAAACAGCTGTGTGAAATCAATGAAACTTGATGGTTTCAGCATTGTCTTGTATACATAGCCTGATTGTAAAATCGATTGACAAATGGAGCTTGTGCAGCACTCAGTGAAGGCATCATGGGGAGAAATACAAATGGTTTTTACGCTTCTATCCACACTAGTTCTTTGAACATCAAGTTTGTCTTTCAAGATAAAAGTTAAGAGGGATATATTACTGATTATAGGTAGCTTGTGTCAAACAAACACGCAAGGAATTGTCACTGAAAAAAAATTTTCCATGAAACTGTGTGTAGTAAATGTTCCAGAGACCAGAATGTTTAGAAAGTAGAGTAGTCTGATTAATCAGATTTTCTATTTATTGGAAGATTTTTTTTGTTGAAAAATATTGTTCATATGGTATATTCAAAACACAGCTGATCATTGATTGAAGCATAGACTGTTCTGAATTGAGGGTCACTTTCTGAATATGAGTTACAATACCTTTTTTAATTTTTAAAGATTTTATTTATTTTTAGAAAGAGGGTAAAGAAAGGAGAGAGAGAGAAACATCAATGTGTGGTTGCTTCTCATGTGCCCCACACTGGGGCCCTGGTCTGCAACTCAGGCATGTGTCCTCACTGGGAAACAAACCGGTAACCCTTTGGTTTTCAGGCTGGCACTCACTGAATGGAGCCACACTAACTAGTTCTTTTTTTAAATTTTTATTGTTGTTTTGTTACAGTTGCCCCCAGTTTTCCCTCATTGCTGTCCCTTGCCCTGCCCACACCCCTCCCTGCTCCCACAGCCAGTCCCCACTCTGCTGTTCATGTCTATGGGTCATCCACACCTGCTTGTTGATTAGACCCTGCCCATTTTTAGCAATTAAATGAGTATTATTAAAAGGTAATGTCTTGCAAAACACTGTGCTTTATAGTTCAGCAGATGTAAACTAATGATTAATATACTGCACCTGTCTTAGAAGAGTTTCCAGACTGTGGATTTCTTAGATAAACTTATATTTGTAATGAAAACTAATAATGATGATCTTATCCTCTGTACCTCTTTTATATATGCAGAGTGCAACACATGAATTAACATATTACATTTATATTAATAGATGTTTCTCTCAAAATTTGCTTAAGATTCTATAGAAAACACTAAACACTATTTAAAACCATTTCACTCAGGTGTTTACATACTGATTTTGTACATATTGATATTAATGTAAGTGTTTTATTTCCAATTGAAAGAAACTTGTAGAATGCAAGTTATACATAAATTGTAGTGTGTTATTATATATATTTTATAACTGTTGTGGCAAGCTTTTAATTAATGCTTAATTAAGCCCATTAGTAGTTGCCTTAAAATATAAGCTTGTCTTCAAAGGAAATTAAAATAATCGAAAACTGTATTACATGAACCCATATAATAATAGCTTTTAACAGCAGACCTTGTACAAGTTTATAAATACTTTGTTATAAAATACATTACTGAGAGCAATGAAATGAAGACAATGGGTAATGGAAGGGAAGTGTAGTTAAGGAACAAGTACAAAGGATCCATGGGCATGGACGACAGGGTGGGGATTGTTGGTGCAGTGGGGTGGGGGTGTTGGGTCAGGGGAGAGCCACAGGGGAAAAAGTGGGACAACTGTAACTGAACAGGAATCAAAAAATGAAAAATAATAAATGAAATAAATGTAGAAAGAGCCTATTTCAAAATAAGGTCACATCCGCAAGTACCAGGGATTAAGACTTCAAACGATCTTTTAGAGAGATGCACTTTTCAGAGTACCTCTAGAAAACATACTGTTTGATGGGCTTTCAAAATCCAGACAATGCTGTGTGTTTTGTTTTTATAATGGGCTTCCACTATGATTAAAGGGCTACATTATTTTTCATGCCATTTAGATTCTAACTTGTGTTATTTTTAATGTGTCAGTAGGCAAAAGGAGGCTTTAAGGCGGCCTTTGATTTGACTATGCCCATCTAGTTTTTGTTTGTTTGTTTGTTTCTGTACTGGAACCTGTCTCACTGCACACCACGGTGGGACCATGATGTCTGTGTCATTCTGTGTGCATGATGCTCAGGGGGTATATGACCTGTGGCTTCAAGGTTGACACTTTCTATCTGGCCCTAAATTTTATGTATATTATATATATAACTCACTCAAAGAATATTCATTCATCATCCACTTTTTAAACTTTATATACTATTATGTAAAGTATGATTTACATACTTTAAATTGTAAAGATTCATAGTATAGAAGATTCATAGATTCATAATATAGATACATAATATGAATTGTAAGATTCATAATACAGTTTTTCAGTCCATTGATGATCCAAGTTGGCGCATTAAATGGTACAGAGTTTATTCAGGCAGGTGTATGAGCCATGAGAAGCAATAACTAAATCTCTAACTTCTAGAGGACAGAAAAGATCCAACACACATACAACCAGAACCAACATGTGCATGTCTGGATACTCATGTGCTCATATATATGAACAGATACAACCATACCCCACAGACGGAAAACAGAAATCATTTATTTCCAGTCCATTATACCTCAGAACATTGATGAATGTGTGTGGTTATGACCCTATTTTATACCAACAAAAGTTTGTATTTTATTACACAATCTTTTGTAAATGTTTCAGTCCAAGCTGTTTAATATTTGTATATTTAAATTGTTGTTCAAGTACAGTTGTCTCCATTTTCACCCCACCACGCTCCTCCCCCCATCCCTGACTCCCACCCTCGATTCTGCCCCCTTCGGCTTTGTTTTAAAAGGTAGCATTTTGAGGGTTTAAAAGTACAAGTTTTATGTAGAAAATTTATTCATTGAGATCAGCTTATTTTGCTGTAGAAAAATATCATTTTTAAATAAAATGTTACTTTTATCATTTTTAATTTTCATTTAAAAAACTTGCATATATAGAATTTATCCTGTTGGAAAGTAGAGTAAATTATAAGCCCCAAGAAATGTTGCTTAAGTGAAATTAAATGTGTTTACATGCTTTATATGCTCATAGGTAATGTGATTTTAAATTTATCTCCTTACTATGTGTTTCAGTGGAACCTATGTCTTCTTACTCTCTGTTCTTAGTACCTGCTACTTATGAACATAAATGTGTAATATTATGTGTAGAATCTAAAAAACTGACTTAAAGAAACAGAGATAAGAGCAATGATTTCTAGGAGCTCGTGGGTAGCAGAACTGGGAGAGATGTTAGAATATAAACTTCCAGTCATAAGATTAATACTTTCTGGGCAACTGAATGTACAGCATGGTGATTATAGTTAACAATAATGTATTATACACTTGAAAGTTGCTAAGAAAGTTAATCTTGTGTTCTTACCACAAAAAATAAATAGTAGTTATGGGAGGTGATGGAGGCGCTACCTAGCTATCGATAATCATTTTGCAACATCTATATCACAATCAACATGGTGTACACCTTAAACTTACACCATGTTATAACTCAGTGAGTCTGGAAAAAATAAAAGTGAAGCTATCTATCAGTGTGGGTTCCAGGTCTTAATAACTTTTAAAATATTTGAATTCAGGGCACTGGAGTTGAATTGTGGAATACAGAGGAGAGGGAGATATTATTGTATTGCACAATTCCTATCAAGGTTACCTAACTCCCTCTGCGTCTTCTTGCCTTGGCAGTGTGTGCAGGAACAGAGAACAAGCTGAGCTCTCTCTCTGACCTGGAGCAGCAGTATCGGGCCTTGCGCAAGTACTATGAGAACTGCGAGGTGGTCATGGGCAACCTGGAGATAACCAGCATCGAGCACAACCGGGATCTCTCCTTTCTGCGGGTAAGGCTGTGCCCTTCCTTCTCTTTGTGAGTGAACAGTGGTGTTGTGATGCATAAAGGCAGACCAGCTTGCTTGCACCTGATGGCTAATGCTCTTCTGGCTGGCAGGGACCATTGTAGGCAAAAGATAAGAGGTGCCAATATATACCCAGAGACAGAACAAGAGTCACAATGCCATAAAGATGGGTATCCTGAGTTTAGAACAGCTACTGTGTTCCTAAGATTGATAAAGATCTTTCAGTGGGCAGTGCATGGTATCTAGCAAGTCTGTCCTTTTCTGAGTTACAAGCAAGAGGAAAACTATATTAATTGTGAATTTAGCTATAAATCTATTTGTCTGCTCCTTTTTCTATCATTTTGGAAATTTTAGACTATTTTACATTACCATAGTGAGACTAATACTGTTACCTTTGCAAGAACAATGATGTTTGTTTTGGAAAACCTGAAAATTATTTAAAATAGACTCACAGGTAATTACAAGTACTTTGTGGATTGACATAAATGGATACAGAGTAGGGGAAGTAAGTTTACAGTAGTGTATATAGAAAATAATACAATCCCTAATCAATAATAACATAAGATTAACTGTTTTATGTACTCACAACTGTAAACCTACTTTCGCTCCACATTGTACATGTACATACAAATTACCCAGACAACTAGCATCCTTTTACAGATTTGGTCAGCTTGCACCAACCCTTCTTCTATTAAACAGGCTGTATTAGTGTTTAATGCCTACAGATTTTTGTGTTTTGCTTTAACCAGAATAGGTATATGAAAAGCTGAATGCCAAAGGAACTTAGACAAAGTGACATGGGGATGTGGTTGTTTGTATAATTAATGGTTTATTCTTCATACAAGGATCAGTAGGATACATAGCGTCCACAGGCTGCATGGGATCTTGTTTTCAATAACGTTTACACATTTCTCTTGCATAAATTAAGTCAAACATGATGTGAAAACCGATACTACAGTAACCTAGTTTAGTGGGTAGTAAACTATTTAAAGAACCATGGAAATGTTAATAATTCTATACTTATATAAGTAGTAAAACAGTGATTTTAAATACTTTGACTATAATAAATGTGTCTAGAAATAATAACAACTGTAGTAAATGAACCATCTCAAAACCTAAACAAGATTATGAGGTATATGATATCTGTTTTTAAAATGATTCTTGTGTTAGATATGGTATAGAAAATAAAGGCTTTTATACTATATTGCTTAGTTGACGTGACTCTGGTGCTATGAGTTGTATGTCAAAGCTTTTTAAAATAATTATGTTTAATTATGACATACTTTTCATCAAAAGTAGATAGTAATAGTTATCTAAATCCTAGAATGAGAGGGCCTATAAAGAACATAACATTTTCTTTTTCTAGTTTAGACTGTTATTTTGAGAAGGGACACATACAAATTATCCCATAACAGACCCTCAAAAGAATATATCTGAGTATTAGTTATTAAACTTTGCTTGCAAGCTTTTAATTTGATTATTTCCAGGTAGATTTTATTCTTCAACATCAAAATGAGCTCTTCATGGTATATGGGCAGATTTGTAGATTTGTTTAGAGATGCGAAGGAACTCAGTGATGTTGTAGAAAAGAAAAACTGAGCTCCAAATCTGGAATCCAGGGATATAAATAGTTTAAATAGTCTTTGGATCAAAATAATATGAAAAATATTTTAAAGGCAATCAATCTTAGATCCTTGTTTTTCTTCTTAAGTTTTGTTTGTTAAGTAGTATTTGTTCAACTAAGAATTTGTTCTTATACAAGAATAGGATATATAGCATAGACATAGATTTTACAGGTTTAATAAAATATAGTCATCAGTATTGTAAGCAACAGTCTTTAAAATAAGTAACATAAAGAGCCTGGCCGGGTAGCTCAGTTGGTTAGACTGTCATTCTCATATACCAAGGTCATGGGTTCGATCTTCAGTCAGGGCATATACAAGAAGCAGGCAATGAATGCATAAATAAGTGGAACAGCAAATTGATTTTTTCTTTCTCTCCATCTCTCTCTCTATAAATCAATAAATTAAAAAATTAAAGAAATAAGTAATAGAAAACTAGTATATATTTTTAAATTTTATAGTTTTGAGCCGTTATAAGTAACAGAATAGTGTGATAAAATAGGCTTTAGTCAATTTTTAATCTTTAGAAATACAGATTTTTGAGCAATATGGTCTATGTGGTTGGACAGTCTACTTACTTAGGAACAATTTTTAAGTAAAAAGTAAATTAATAGAATGAACACATTTGGGAAATAATAAATTGAGGATCAAGGTTTCCACCTGAAGCCAGAAACAAGTTGTTTATTTAAAACAGTAATTTTTGGTTTCAAAGTTGCATCTCAGAAAGTTCATATAAACTGTATTAATCATGCATTCATTTAAAGAAAACTTGAATAGGCTTCTTGCACATTAATGCCATCTTTTTGTTTCATTTATTTGCTGTTTCTGTGGAAAATAACCATTTCTAAGTGTGATGTATGTTTATGCACTCAACAAGTGATCTTAGCCCAAGGATACAATAGAAAGTACTCCATTATTTTCCATTTCCACAATCTTGTAGTATTGTGGAGGTTTACAGAAGTGTAATACATAAGCACTGCAAATGCATGTTTGTATATGTATATATTCTATGTACCATATATATTTTATACATGTACATATAGACATGTATAAAAGAGTTGTTAAGACAGAATAAAGAAGCCAGAATAACGAACGTATGTTCTCCTGTTAATAGATGGTGTGGGTGCTGGGCCGGGAAAGAATGGCTGACTCTGACGAATTCAGGAAAGAGTCCATCAAAGAGGGGCTTGAATGGAATCCTTCCAAAGTACATAATCTGTCCAAAATGGACATATTAAAATAAGTAGAGTCCATGAAAAAGGAATCTGGTCATTTCATATTATACTATAATTTTAATGTTTTGAATTGTGTGAACTGATAGTAAACTTGCATGGATTGCATAGCCCTCAGGCATATTTCTGTAACTATAATTCATGGAGCAAGTCACGGAACTATCATTGAGAGATATGCCGTTTTCCTTTCTACGAATGCCCCAAAGCTATAATGTGTTTAGAAAGACATCAGGGATAGAAATCTCAGATTTCATTCTGGAATTTATTTCTGTTTATAGGAACTTAAGAAATTACTTTTGTTTTCAAAAGATTTTTTATACTTACGTTCATCTCTAGTTAGCAAAGCCCTAAACCACTCTAATTTCTGTGATTCATAAGAGCAGTTTACCCAGATACCTTGTTTATCTCTTTTACTATCTGATTAGTTGGTGTCTAGTACAGTGCCTGAAGTATAACAGGCTTTCTGTAAGTATTTTTGAATGGGAAAATTAATGAGTAATTTTCTTAATACTCAATAACAATAATTATCGATCACTGCTCCACATGACATATTCTCTAGATGAAGGAATATGCGAGTCCCTCACCGTGCTATGTCAGTCTGAGACCCCCACAGATCAAGGGTGTGGGCACAAGACACTGTCTGAGTTGATCAATATCCCTGCCCATGAAGCTGTGAAATCGTGGCCTGGAGCATTCTGTTTCTGCACTGGTTTCTTGACCACTTGAACACCAGAGTGCAGCCATCTTTTTCCTCAGGTTCTAATGGAGGCAACACATTGAAACAGACATAGAAAGCAGAGAGATATCCTCCGCCCCAAGATTTTGATGGGGGAACCATTCATTTTTAGCTTCCAGTCTGCTTCTGAAGACTGCCTGCATTCTAGACATTGCATACATATGATACTCCTGGAACGTGGTAGTAACTTTGAACTGATTTCCCCATTTTTCCTTAAACTTGATGGGGCTGTTTTCTTTCACTAGAAGTAAAATCTCTCTTACATTTCCCAAGATCTCAAAAACAGAAACAGTGTGCCTATGCAATTGGATTGATTTTGTGCTTACATATAATTTTAAAAAACTACACTGTTTGGTACTTCATTAATTTTTACTAGATATATTTTATTAAAATATCTTGAAATATATTCTTCTGAAGATAGATTTATTATATCAACCTGGATACTCATTTCTGCAAATGCCTTTGAATGCAGCTCTGTTTATAACCTCCACATTTTTACATTTCTTTTGGGGGAAAAAATCTAATTGACAATATTTAACATTAGATCCCTGAGACATCACATAGTTGTCAAGAAAAAGGCCCTAAAACTTATTTACTATGTATTTAATCCATGTCACATGTTAAAACATATAATATATAACAGCAAGGTACAACAATAACAGATTTTCACTACTGTCTTACACTGTGAACCTCTCAAACATGGCAAAATGTAGCAAGTAATGGGAAGGAACTAGTTCTTAGACTCCCATTGGAAGTCTTGGGGGTTTTCTCTCCTGTATCATTGCATTGGACCTTCTGGCTCCTGCTGACATTTATAACTCAACACTTCTAAACAGGTACCAGACCTACCAGCTTTTATACTTCAGATTTCTTTTCTGTTTTATATATTTACTTTAAGGAAATAACTATCAAGTGCCAACTAAATGGAAAGCAGATGATATATAGTACAAAGTATATGAAGTGTTAACACCTATCCTTAACCAATGCTATAATAGGTATTAATTTTTAATCCATTGCTTGAATTTATTGTGTAAAAATTGTCTTGGAAATAGTATTAACTAGGATTATAAATAGAATAATTTATTTAGCAGCTGATTCACTGACCTAGATTATTAACAATATCAGTAATTCATTGAATTATACACTGGTGATTATACATTTTATACTGTAAAATGAGTAAAGATAAATTAATACATTGGTATCTTTCTAAATAGTGGCAATAATATTCTATGACAGCAAAGGGCAATGATGTTGAAAACTATACTATTTAAAAAATAAATTTTCTCTGGCTGGCATGGCTCAGAGTGTGGGCTGGTGAACCGAAGGATTGCTGGTTCAATCCCCAGTCAGGGCACATGACTCAGTTGCGGGGCCAGGTCCCCAGTAGGGGGCATG